TTATGTATACATATATATTTATTTATTTATATATTTATATTTCATATTTATATTCATATTTATATTATGTATATCCAACTAACCAAGTACGTATAGTAACCGTCTAATACACGATCGAGTACTCCCCTCTTTCTTCGTTCTTACAATCTGCGTACTTAATTAAAATAGTTCGAGTGAAAAATATGTGTACTTTGTCGAGGTTTTGGGTTTCTGCATTTTATTTTCGCTAAAAGGATCGTACCCTCCTTTCTTACTCGTTTCATTACTCTTATTCTCTTTCCTCCCTTTGTTTCCAAGTCCCTTAGCACGGCTCGCGGTACACGATTAATCATTTACCTCGACCGCGCCGTCTAATTTTCGCTCTAACAGCTTTCTCTGGTTTCTTTGCTCGATTCCTTTTGATATCGATATGTCGTGTTTGTCAATAATATCATCGTCACTGAACGACTCGACCCTTTCCCTGTTCCGGGAGCCACGATAACTTTCAAGTACTTTTCATCAAGTTGGCGATTACAAATGAAACTTGCAAAAATTGAAAACTCCGTCTCCCTACTTTCTCCAAATATTTTTAACCAGTTGACTGTTTCGATCGCTCTTACAGCCAGCCTTTTAATTTCTCCAAGTTGCTGCAGCACTGTTTTTAAGCTATCCTCCCGGAACAAGGAAACAGACGAACGGATGTTCTTTCCGCTGCGATTAGAGTAACGCGCGCATACAGGTAAGACGTGTTTCGTCCCTCCCGTTCCGCATCATTCCGCGCAGCGTCGAGTCAACTTTCCACATTAAAAACTTCCCGGATTAACCCTTATAGCGAGGCGCCCTCCCTCCGACAACGAACACGAGCCAGTCGAGTCCCGGCCGAATTCCTTATCGTCGCTACACTCTCGACAGACACGGGCGTTCAAAGTTTACGTAAAAATAACGATCTTCCGGCAGGGGGCGTCTCGATTCGAGGATAGATCCGGAAGTTGTTTAGCGCGTTCGCCAGTCCTCGGTGATCGCGATCGCTCGAGATCGGATCGGGAAGAGCTCCGCCATCGCGGTTAAAACACAACGTTGTAGCTTTTAACAGCGGCACTTATAGTTAACGGTCGCTACGATGATCCCCCGCGGGGGAAGCACGAACGAGAACCGAAGGATGGGAGGGAAAGGGAAAGAAAACACAGAAAAAAAAAGAATAAGAAGACACGGAAGAAGGGAAAAGTCCATGTACACGCTCGTTCCTGCACGTACAATAATAGTTATAATAATAACCGTTCGTTCCGGGGGGCACTCGTCACCCACTCCCCGTCCCTCGCTTCTTTTTCCAATTTCATACACGTACAGAGAGTTCGCCTTTCCTTTTTTCTAATTCCTTCGTCACGACGCGATCGTGCCGTGGAACTTTAAATACAACGTATGTATAATTGCAGCTGAAACACGCCATTGCGCGGGCGTTGTTCTCTGCTCGAGTGAATACAACGTTTCGTTCGACCCGGAAATATCGCACGCGCCATCGCGAATACGGCGGACACCCCGCGGACTCGAATAAGTACTAGTTACTCTCTTCTCTTCACTCCTTTTTATGTCTCTCTCTCTCTCTCGCACACTTGGGCTACAATCACCACTCGACGCACACAATATTGGCCCCAGCACCCTAATTTTTGTTTTATGGTTTGTTGTGTTTTTCTTTAATCACACCATCGCTCTGTGCCTCCACGCTGGGCTTCGTTACGATCGAATACTGAAATACTGTTGCTGTTAGCGGGTTGCAAGGGGAGAACGCGAGATTGTCGAGAACAAGTTACGACTCGGTACGATAATAGAAGGAATTTGATCGGAGAACAGCTATCACTCTACAGACTAGTACTTATTAATTATTCGAAAAGAAAAAATTAAATGTTATTCTAAAAACTATAACAATACGTACGTACGAATATACAGTATATTTACATAGCAAGAAAACTAATTTGAGAAATTATTTCAGTACGGTAACCATTAAATTTTAACACGAATAATATTCAGCATTTGAACATCGAAGAACGTAAAATCCATAGCATTATGTACAATGCTTTCTATGAAAAACATTAAATTCGTATCGCTACTGTTATTTTGCCTAATACAAATTATCTTCGTAGAATCGATTTTGCACCGTAACTAATTAGTCCACGAGCCTTTAATAATTAAATATAAAATGCTAAGATAAATTCGTCGATCGATCTGCGTATTAAATACAACCATTTAATATTTTACACGTATTTTTTATTACAAAAAGTTACAGACTAGTCGTAACCGTTAGTTTACAAACAAGTGACCGGAACGATTAAATAAATGAAAATTAATCGAGTAACGCCGGTTGTACGTTGCGAGTCTATCTCGTCTAAAATATTTGCGAAATATCTGCAATTTGCTAGAAGATTGCTGCGTCGTTGGATACTCCCCAATTCCTCGGCTTAATCTCGTTTCCCCCTTTGATCTCCGTTCAATCGAGTGAAAAAATCAACGCCCAAGTCGGACACGCTGATCAATAAGAGAATATGCAAATATTAGTAAACTTGGACGGCCAGTATTTCACTATTCGTCGCAATTTTTCCAAGCACCCTCGACTCGTTCCCTCAAACCGAAGCTTTTTCCATCATCGTGGAAAGCGTAACGTACAGCGTAACACAGCAATACGAAATCTCGCCAATTCTATCTACGTAGACGACTACCACGCGTACGACACTTTTCCTCTGCGCGCATAACTCTTCCCACTTCCCACGGGCACCAACAAAACAGAACCGGGTGTACAGGGAACGAACAAGATAAATTAATTGAAACTGCCCACGTTGACTTACATCAATATTACTGTTTCCAGATGAAAATCGCCCTGGCTGTTGGTCGAATACTTTCAAAGTGAACGTAACGTCGATCGTACGAAAGCTAAGGATGTATTTACGATACCAGGACGTATTATAAATAATATCAAATACGTATTGGAAACTATAGATTCAATCGTTACGTTTGCGGTACAGTCTTAGAAAATTAAATTCAAATCCGAGACAGCTCTGAGATGACGTAGCGTAACACTGAATATTAATAATACTGAAATAAATCAAAATGTTAATTTCAATCGTCTCACCCTGTATATTTAGTTTGATTAAAACTAATTACAGTAAACATTGACAGTTATAACATTTAGTTTGTGGTTATCGATACAAGTGCGTCCATACTTGTAGTTTTGTTACTTTCATTCGTTGTAATTTGCTTTACAATATACGACAATAATATTTTCAACATTAGTTTGTATACTTATAGTCAACTTAGCTTCAGTGGCAAGCTGAACCATTCGGAAATTCTCTTTCTAAAATCTTTCATTTCTATCCTTTACCTCCCAATTATCGTTTCTCTTGATTTCTTTTAACGATCATAATCTTCAGAACCTGTTAACGCATCAAAAGACCCACTATCCTATACTTGTTACTGAAATTATAATAAAATAGGTATTTGAATAATGTGCAACAACAGTTTTTTCAAACTTATTAAGAATTGATGCTATTTAATCAGTTAAATAAGAACGAACAAGTAAACTTGTATTTATATATACCTTCTGATACTTTTTCTATTCTTTATTTATTCCTGTAAAGATCTTTGTTCTTAATTATATTATAATATTTGCGTTGGTATAAATTACATCGTATTTATATTTGCTGTTAGGCGAGATGCATTAAATCGTCTTTATTCCGTTTAAACTATGCGTACATGGGAATTCACGATTGAGAAATGTACACGATCTACAGATTAACGAGCATTATGCAATAGGTCTGAACATCTGCTGATTCTTTGTCAGTTACATCTATTCAAAAGCTTCATCAATTTTATGCTGTTAATGGTGAAGTACGTTTATTGTTCCACTCGTCTGCATTCATCGTTCTCATCCACATGTTTCAAACGTTTGTTGAAAATATGATTGATCATGAGACTTGATTATTGAAATTGCTAACAGAAACTGATCGGATCAATTATCGTGCAACGGTTTAATGACAATTGGAACCGATTTTGGTCGAGTTCTCTGTTACCTGCCCCCCTCACCGACTTCAATGATTCCGAATAACATTTCTCTTCTGGCTAAATTTTTGGTCGGCTTTGGTTCCCAAGATATTAGCAAAATTCCTTTCACACCGATCGATTGAATTCTGCCGTGTGCTTGCTACAGGGCGATTTGCTAACTAGCGTACTCAAAGGTCATGACCTTCGAGTACGCTAGTTAGAGAATCGCCCTGTAATATACATTGTCGCGACGGTCAGCATATTTTACGTTTGCATAACGGTTGAACTTAACGATCGAGTATAATTTTGTCGAGCTGCAAGCGACCCTCCGCTGGGCGACGAGGAACAAAACCACCCCAAACCAGAACCATTTCGTAAAGACTAAAACTATTATACTAATTAGACTGTTAAAATTCTGTAATCAGTGTTATAAAAGGTTTTACGAAACGGTTCAGGCTGAGGATAGTCTTTTTCTCGTCGTCGAGGGGAGAGGCGCCAGCCGCCACGCGGCAGCAGAATTCCAGACAGTCATATTGAAGTAAACATACGTGTCTGGAGAAGGATGTAGGTCCCAGGTAGGGTGGAGAGAAATAATCCGGGAAAAGAGGCCGGCATATTTCCAGGACGAGCGGTTCCATCGAAGATAGAGCACAAACGCGAATCAAAGTTCCTGCCTTATGGAGGGAAACGTGTCTCGTGAACGTATCGCTACTTTTATGTACAGTTGTTCGATCGGGGATCCGCCACGTTCGCTGGTACGACGGAAATCTCGTGGGTTTCACGGTGGTGTTCGCGCACTGTCTTCTCAATATGTTCACTTCCTATGCACGACTTCCACCTACGTTCACATATTCACTAAGCTTGATTATTAAATTACTTTCTCCCCCGGCATATCGGCACCCTCTGTTAAAGTATTTCATTTTATATATACATATATATAATATGTATATGATATACACATATATGTATGTATGTATAGATTCCGTGGTTGTTGTTGGTTGCTGTTCGTGCGGCTGTTCGCTGATTATACGGCCGTCCATGCGTGGCCTGGTTCCTCCTCTCAGTGGCATCACCTCGCAATGTATCTGCTGAACAGGATGCCCAGGACAACGAAGATGTACACCGAGGCTGAGATACGGCACGTCCACGACGTCGCCGTTGAGATGTCCCCGCATTGCGCTGAAACAAGAACCATCTGTTATTAAAGTTAATAACAAAACAAAGAAACTAGAAAGGATCATTATCGTTCGGGTCTACAATTACCTCAGAGTCTTAAATTTTATTAAACCATGATCAAGATAGCCCCTATCCATTTAAACTGTAATTAAATTAAGGGGGGGAAACCACTGCGACGGATTGAAAAAATTGAAATTATTTCTTTTATCCCTTTTCAATGCTTGTAAAAATGACAAAGTTATTTTTTTGAATTTTATATTTCTTGTTTCACAACTTGCAGTGAAAAATTACACGTCCATATCGTAATTTATGTGAAGGGGTAATTTTTCAATTTCCGCTGTCTCTCTGTCCCCGACGTACAAAAGCCTACTAACGCCTACTAAGAATACTAAAAGTTTAGGTGCACGCTGTTCTGAAACTACTTATGCTTTTTGCATAAACAAGCCATTGTTAGGAGCGATGAACTCTCCCCTTTAAAATGGTTTTTGGTTTTTGACGATCGGACTTTCCGTTTTGGAGATATCGCAATTTATGTAAATGGTAATTCTTTTACTTCGACTGTCTCTGTCTCCGTTTGATGAGTCGCGTTGGACCTTTCTTACGCACTGTTTACTATTCACGCGCAAGGTCATTCACCTCGCGTCAACGAAACGTAAACAAACTTCGAAGCCTCGTATCTCCGGAACTAGCCATCCGATCGACTTGAAACTAAAATCCTCATATCTCTGGAACTAATAAAGCTATCGTCTTGTACAAACGCTCATTTTAAAGGGCTTTTCATCCCCTATCTGATGAATGTAAGAACTATTCTAATTTATGTTGCCTTCTATGTTTATTTTCACATTTACTTTGTCGCTACATACCCAAAGTAGTTTCAGCAACATTGATCATACTGGTATGGGATAAAACTGCACTATAAATTGTTTATTTAATTGAAAATGAATTTTAGTTTGTATACAGGGTGTTTGTAAATAATTCTTTTCTCTGGAATTAACTACGGTATCGACTTGAAATAAAATTTGTTCTCAAGAGCGTTTTGTCTTCTATCCGATGAAAATTACTAATTTACTAATACTATTAAAGTACTAACGCACGTTTAGAGTAATTTCTAATTACTCAAACGTCTGACACATCTTCCCTTCGGATGCCAGATTCGACAAAATCTCTACTTTCCCAAACGGTCGCTAATCCGATCATTCGTCTGGATTGTAGTGTCGTAGCGGCAAGTAAATTAATCAATTAATTAGTGTTTAAACGAACAAGGCGAACAGGACAACGATGTTGCTAGTTTCGTGTACTGTGTAATTAGGAATCTTGATTATCTGGTCGATGTCGTCAGCAATGCTCACCGTACGATGTGAGGTTGACTTGCCACGATACTAGATGGCGATGAGAGGCTCTCGGACAGGAAGCAAGATGACCCGTCACCGAGAGTTCACGACTTCCTGTCGCCGCGGCGGATGCACTATAAACGAGACAGTAACGACCGACGTCGGTGCTCGCGACCAAGTAAGTTGTGTCGTTTTCGATCCAGGTTCCGTGGCAGAAGTACTCTGAAAACGATTTCGTGCGTTAGTTATATTCTTAGCAATTTTTTAGCCGCGCTAATGGAAATTCCAACGAAACTTTGTATGCTTTATTTTAATTGCACAAACTCAAATTGGAACAGCGAAAATATTTCCCCTTCTGATGCTATATTAGGACCCAGGGTTGCCACTAGGGATGTTCTTGAATCGATTCTAAATTCGAAATCAAACTTCGAGAAGCGATCTATTGAAAATCGATTTATGAAATCGTTCGAGGTAACACTTCAGTATACTATCGATATTAATGGGTTATCGAAACATATTTACAATTTATATTTAAGACACGACAAGTAAAACAATTAATAATTAACAAAGTTTGCAATTACCACCAGCACTAGTGCGAATAAAATTATTAAAGCAAACTAATAAGGGGTCATTCCACGCCAAATCGGTCACTTTTTTCACCTAAAATTGAATATTAGGTATACCATACGATATCAAGGGTAGTTTAAGTCATCATTTTGATGGTTTCGAATTTGTTTAAAAAACAGGCTCCTATAGTTTACGAATTTTGTAAAAATCAATCTGGAGATTGTTGAGTAAAAACGCTTCTAATGACATAATATTTGTAATGTATTTTAATTCCAGTGAAATATTCCAGTGAAAAAATGAAGACGAGCATTTAGGAAAAAGTATTGTATCACGAATTTTTAATCCTTTACGAGTTTGTATAGTAATATTCGTGCAGAAACGAATCCTTCCAGAAATTCGACGAATGTTTATTGGAATGGAGAAACACAAAATATTACGTCACGAGATAACGTAACCCCATTATCGGGAATCGAAGCACGGGAGTACAATTTCCGAGTAGTTTATCGGTTTCAAGAAAAATTCCGGAAGCAATGGGGGACGTTTATCGTCCTAACGAAAGCGCTGAATGGGTAATCATCCATGCACCGATTTTAAGTGTTCGATTTCATTCACCTTAAGAATCGTTTTACGACCGACTTACAGGGTAGTTGAGTGAAAAGGGGAACGAAGAAAAAAGAAGCCGTAAAAAGGGGAGCAATTGAAGCGTGCTCGATAAAGAATGAACTGGTTAACGTTTATGAAAGAGAATTAAATTATTCACGACTATGCAAGCGAAAAAGGTACAATTACAAGGAATACTTGTCACAGGAATTACAATGTATTCTCATATATTATTATATTTTTACGATATTAGAGTCCGTGATGACAATAAATCCTTTCACTATTATTTCAGAATTATTCGAGTACCTCGACGTTACACTCGTTATAGTTGAAATAATAACATTCGTGGTTTTAATTTTGGAAAAATAGATTCGTATAAAGTGCAATTGATAAGTACGATTCGATTGAAACGATCCTTAAAAAATGATTTTCTACGGATACTGTCGAGAGGCAGCTGTTTGAGGGGAAAAGGGTCTACTGCGTTTCGAGTTCGAGTAAGGCGTGAACGGGAACGAAATAAACGAAAGTCGTAAATCGCTTCGACACGTCGATATCTGGCGTGTTGTCTGGACTCGATACCTTATCGAGGTTGCAAGATAGAAAGATGAGAATTTACAGCATTCGCGTGACAGTTCGCTGCGCGAAAACGGAAATGGACAACAAAAATTCAGTAGCACAAGGAAGACATACTTTGAAAGAAATGTATTTCGAATGAACAAAAGTCGAAGATGATGGTGTGACATTCATAAACCAAATCGAACTCTTTCTATCGTTTCGTGGTGAATTATTCTTCAAACATATAATTACATTACTAAATACCCAACAAACAGCTGCAGTCAAGTGGCAAAAAATTTCTTTTAAACAAAGTGTAAGATAACTTTTTGAATTTACAGAAATTTCGGTGATTAATGCAATTTTGTGTAATCGAATCATGAGAATGCTTTTAGTCAGAGGAATATAGGCAGAGAAGCCTTCCAAGCAAGAAAAAAAGATTGTCATGAAAAATAAATTTTTATCATCAAAAATTTTATTCCAAATTTTAAATGATTCCAACAAATTTCTTTTATAAATACTGATGGTATAGAAACATATTTAGCACTGATAAATATACAGTCACGATTTACATTGTTCAACGACTAGGGCGTTATTTATATAGATGTGGATTATGTTTTTTTTCCAATTTAACATTTGTTCAATATTTGTTATTTTAATTTTAAACAGTTTCAACAAATTTCTTTTATAAATACTGATAGTATAGAAACATATTTAGCACTGATAAATATACAGTCACGATTTACATTGTTCAACGACTAGTTATTTATATAGATGTGGATTATGTTTTTTTTCCAATTTAACATTTGTTCAATATTTGTTATTTTAATTTTAAACAGTTTCAACAAATTTCTTTTATAAATACTGATAGTATAGAAACATATTTAGCACTGATAAATATACAGTCACGATTTACATTGTTCAACGACTAGTGCGTTATTTATATAGATGTGGATTATGTCTTTTTTTCCAATTTAACATTTGTTCTATATTTGTTATTTTAATTTTAAACGGTTCCAACAAATTTCTTTTATAAATACTGACGGTATAGAAACATATTTAGCACTGAGAAATATACAGTCACGATTTACATTGTTCAACGACTAGTTATTTATATAGATGTGGATTATGTCTTTTTTTCCAATTTAACATTTGTTCTATATTTGTTATTTTAATTTTAAACAGTTTCAACAAATTTCTTTTATAAATACTGACGGTATAGAAACATATTTAGCACTGATAAATATAGTCACGATTTACATTGTTCAACGACTAGTGCGTTATTTATATAGATGTGGATTATGTCTTTTTTTCCAATTTAACATTTGTTCTATATTTGTTATTTTAATTTTAAACAGTTTCAACAAATTTCTTTTATAAATACTGATAGTATAGAAACATATTTAGCACTGATAAATATACAGTCACGATTTACATTGTTCAACGACTAGTTATTTATATAGATGTGGATTATGTCTTTTTTTCCAATTTAACATTTGTTCTATATTTGTTATTTTAATTTTAAACAGTTTCAACAAATTTCTTTTATAAATACTGATAGTATAGAAACATATTTAGCACTGATAAATATAGTCACGATTTACATTGTTCAACGACTAGTTATTTATATAGATGTGGATTATGTTTTTTTTCCAATTTAACATTTGTTCTATATTTGTTCGTTTGGTTCTATATTTAATCGTTTTAGAAAACGTACAAATTGTCTACAAAAGATAAACTTGCAGGGGGTGTGAAAGATCCAGGATTTCAGACCGATATAAGTACAAAAGGACGTCGCGATCAGACGTAATCCACAAAAACACGAGCGGATCGTTGTGTTAGAACGTTTCGTATCCGGAATTATTTTAGCAGAGGGCAGCGTTGACATAACCGTGGATTTAGACGCTGGAGCCTCGTGTCTTATGGCTGCCGACAAGGGGATTGCGTTCCACGCTGCCGTTTCTCCCTTCTGTCGGCGGGGAGAACGCGAATTGGTCATTAAGACTTCGTACAAACAGCGATCTTAGCTCTGCTCGTACACCGAGAACATCTCGGAATGTCTCGAGCCGGCTTCCCAAGGACAATCGTTAATCATATCCGAATCGCCGTTGATATTTGTCTAGGAATTAGAATCATGCCGAGTGTTCGCAAAATCTACTTTTCAAGACGGTGTTATCATTTTATAAGAATCTTGTAATCCCTTAACCCTTTCATCACTGAAATAAATGGGAGCTTTGTAGAAGGTTGCCTAAACCCCTAAATATAATAATTCCTATTTTACTTTAAGTATCTCTTATATTTTTGCATATTAAGTGCATTCTGCAGTTCTTTGAGAGTCAAAATTTCCCATTCACCAGATATAGCTTTCAATGATTCGTGCCAACGATTCACCGTGAAACCTATTATGAAGATTAACACCTTTCCCTTCGAATCCTCCAATACCTAATCCATCAGTGGCAGGATCTTGCCAAAAAGTAGCGTTCAAAGGAAAGGGAAGGCGGAGAACTCGCAGTATCTATTTACAACTATGTTCGCGAGTGCAAGCCAGTGCAGAGGCATGCACCCATAAACACGTACAACCGAATAAAGCTCGAAACTTTGCACATAAGCAAGCACAGTGAACCACGGCAACCGTCACGCCGCTGATTCCACGCAAACTAACTATCGCCACTTGCGATAACTTTCCTGGCAGCGGGGAGGAGGAAGGTAAATGAGGAGCGAGAGATGTCGTTTCTCGATGGGAGGATAACTCAACCTGGTGCGGGTAATCCGATAAGATGTTCCTGCCGGAGGTAGTCTACTCTCTGAGGATTCGCTCGGCACCTTGTCTGATTCGGTACCTTGTGCGTAGAGTCGATTCGATGAGGTAGTTAGTAGACGCAGGTGAGACGGATGACAATTAAGGAGTGGAAAGATCACACGACGTTCAACGTCTGCGAAAACTACAGCCGTAGCTTGAACTTCCGTACTCGTTGGTTCAAGCTCCACGGTCAAGAATTGGGCATCAATCGATTAATTTAATTAGAAATATAAAATCATTAAGTATGGCGTTTAGACTTTGTCACAGTTTCTGTCGATTATCGTTCTTGGAGTAGTACTGCTGAATGAACTCCTTGGTGCTCTTTACGATTATAAAAAGATGCTTAATAGTATCAGAATAGGCATGGATTCAGTATCCTGTGGTAAGTATAACCCTAAATTATGTGTATGTATTTCTCATTTTTTTATTTCCTATTGAATACATTTTTTCAAACTGGAACAAAATGTTAAAAAGATTGTGCATCGAATTGTAAGGGGATCCTTGTAAGAAGAGTCATTGATTGTTCGATGGTCAACAATGTTTGGATTATGGTCATCGATGGTCAAGAATGAGGTTGACATCAAGATCAGCGATCCAGCGAAGACCAAGGAAATGTGAAGAGATAGGATCAACCAAATACATTTACTACTGTAGGAGTTATGGTTGTTTGAAAATTGGACCACTTTCATTTTTCCAGAACGATTTGAGATTTTTTAATTTTGTCGAAAAATTTCACACTTTCTCGAATTTTTTTTTCGAAAGTGGGTAGGAATTCGGTAGTATGTCTATTCACCAAAAATGATTGTAATTATCCCACGCAACCGAAAATAATTTTTCCACAACGATTTGAAATTTTTGTTTCCGTCAAAAAATTTCAGCAGTTACCTATCGATTTTTCTTAGGAATTCGTTTATCATTTTTAATAAATTTCTTTGACGTCCTACGGAAATTTTGTTTAGCACTTTTTTGTAGGTATCCATGAGCTCTACTTGCATACTAAATTTCATTGAGATACGTTCACTATTGTAGAAGTTATAGCTGCTGAAAATTGGACCATTTTTATGGGGTTTTTCACACTTTACGGGGTTAAGGAACAACTTTTCCAGCATTGTTAGAATTTCTACCTATTCTTCACTAAAATACGCGTCGTTTGCATTTTGAAACATTGAAATCCTCCAATCCGTTCAGAAGTTATGATTTTTTAAACATACGCACGGGATTTCAGGGAAAAATGTCATATATGGTCAGACGTTGAATTTTCGGTAAGGAATTTTTATTTCGAAAGTGGGTAGAAATTTAGGGATATATCTATTGACCAAAAATAATTGTAATTAATCCTTGCAACTAAAAATAATTTTTCTAGAACGATTTGAAATTTTTTAATTTTGTCGATTTTTCTTAAAAATTCGTTTTTGATTTTTAATAATTTTGTCAGACGCCCTACAGAAAAGTTCTCTAATAGTTTTTTGTAGGTACCCATGAGCTTCACTTCAGAAAAAAGTTTCATTTAAATATATTCACTATTGTACGAGTTAGGGCTGTTTGAAAATTGGATCATTTTTATGGGGTTTTTCTAACATTACGGGGTTAAGGAGCAACTTTTCGAATATTTTTGGAATTTCTACACATTCTTCATCAAAATACGCGTCGTTTGCATTTCGAAACATTGAAATCCTCCAATCCGTTCAGAAGTTACGACGTTTTAAAGATATGCATGAAATTTCAGGGAACCATTTCTGGCCAAAAATAAAATGTTTGGTAAGGAATTTTTCTCTCGAAAGTGGGTAGAAATTTGGGGGTATGTCTATTGATCAAAAATGATTATAATTGACACCTGTAATTAGAAATAATTTTTTCAGAACGATTTGAAATTTTTTATTTCTGCTGCTACCTCCTGTCGATTTTTCTTTAAAATTTGTCTACTTCATAAATATATTCCAATAAAATACATTTACTATTGTAGGAGACTATTAAAATCAACTACTTCCTCGAATTCTCGAAGCTATACGAAACGCCAGATACCCATATACAAGGTGGCTATGCATTAGTCTGTGTAATTGAGGGGGCAGTTTTCTGATAATACTGGATTGCCTTTTTCAATCTCTCTCACAGTCAACTCATATATATTTACAGGTGTCTGCCCATCAATACTAATTTATTGAATAGTTTCAATAATAATATTTAATAATTATTTTTAAGTCCACGAGAACAGGGCTTAAAAATCGCAGTTAGATCGGGCCACAAAAGTCCATAAGGTGTAAGGCCTACTCGTATACCTCGTCTGTGCCATCACTCCCCCATGGTGGTGATTGACCATAAACTTTAATGATTTATATTTCAAAGCGGTTTGTGTCCGTCAAACGTCAGAACCCACGTCCTCGTGCCTTCAATGTTCTCAGACAGTTTCGGGCTCTCGTCGTCTCGTTGGATGTCAAGAATTTTTATGTCTCTCTTTCCCCCCGATTCGGGAGTGAAATGCCGCCAGGAATGACAATGGAAAGATTGAGGATGCGTCAAAGAAAATGAAAGATTAATCGTTCGTAATATTAACCTACGCGCAACTTCGCGATGTTTCCGCCGCGATGGGAAATTTTTTTAAACGAACGAAAAGGGGACAGTAAACCGTAATGAACGGCTGACAATGACGAATAATCTTCATTGTAGGATTTATATGATACGTTACCATTAATTCTATGAATTACTGACTTGCAGTTTTATCCATTGTACAGACATCATTCGACCTTTACCATTTCACAATTTAGTTTAGAAGTTCAAGTTAAAGCCTAAGCCCCTAGGGGGTGCCTCCCTAATACTTCTGAGGTGGATCATCGTAGAGTTTTTGGTAGCTAAAAGTTCGAAATCGAATCAGCAAATCGATTCGACAGAAAACCATGCAAATATGGGCACAGTGGTAAGGGAAAGAGCACTAAATTTTGGCTGTTGGATAGCATGAATCTGCTTAAAATATTATCCACGCTTGCGCAAAATTCTCTGTGATATCCATTATTGAAAAATCTCACCAGACGGTGTCTCGTCGCTGCAAGACGTAGCAAACTCCATACGATCGGGTCTCTTGCAACCGATATCCAGTCGTCGAACACTTCCGTAACGACATCGACCCGGATAGGGTGTCGACGTGACTCTGACGTCATGCACCTCGGCGGCATTAGCGATGCTCTGATCCCCATCGATGCTCAATATGTCCTCGGCGTTTTCGTTCGTGTGCGAATGTATCATCGACACGATTTCGTAACGACCCAAGTTGGGGCAGTGCCTGTTCATCGGATCCGACGCTGAAAAGATCAAATAAAAACCATCAATTTCCGTTCGATTTATTTTCGTGCAAACGCACTCGCTCGAACCGTTTACGGTGGTCGACCAAACATAGAAGACGCTTGAAAAATTGAACACTTTGTGTATCCCAAATGTCATTTACAGAATGGGTGTACAAAATCTTGAATTCGACGGAAGTAGAACGAATTAGAATTTTAACGACGTTTTGTGAGAAAACGAACGTTTCACGGACACGAAGAAATCCGATGTTGGATTCCCAAGAAAATGCAAACATTTAGACGCGCTCGAACAACGACAAACACGGTGAAACATCGACAAACAATCGCTGGTAGTCGAGATTCTTGGCCGGAGACGCCCGAGAAACGCGATTCGAACGGCGTTCCCATAAATTTTAAGCTGGCAGAATGACTCTGTCTTCGTCACTGTTATGGAATCGAGTAATCGGCTTAAGCAGAAACTGCAAGGACGCGCCAGGTCTGGAAGCCCGAGTTTACGACGGATTTGGCATACGATCCTTTACGCGATCGTAAACGAGCTCTCCACGCGAGTCGATTGTTAAACTCTGACGTTTACAACTTCCACTTTGTGCCCGTCGAGTTTCCGTTTCGCTGCGTGTTTCGCCGATGTCGTTCGCGTCTGTGTCTCCGCCGTTCCCTCAGCCAGACAACGGTTCACTGAGCTTTAAGCTCTTCAAAACGATTTTCTTAATTTATTGTAAGAGAGGCAAGGGAACGCAGTAAGATTTATGCAAAGCATCGGAATGAGAAATTTAATGACAGAATATTAACAAGGTTTATTCGAGCGCGAGCAGTTACTTTGCATTTCCGAGTCGGGGAACGTGGCTGAAAATTTCCGAATCGAAAGATCGACTAGGAAATCGATATTTCCAGCGTGTAAGTGTTAACCATCGATCGTAATTGACTTACTAATGAACGTCGTGTATGGCGTCAAGTGGAATGTACTCGAGTTGCACACGTCGTCGGGTTGATGGCTCCATTCCGATAGTTGCATTTCTATTATGTGATCGTTCCTCCGATGGAACATCAAACACACGTATCCGTTGTTGCTGGAAAATAAAACGAAGCGCTGGTTACGTACCGATGTCGAGGAACGTTTTAACACTAAACCTACCGACACTTCGTCTATACCTATTCCTACCATGACCGGTCAAATGATTTCTAATCGCTTAATTTTTGCATTATATCGTATAATATACAGTCGTACGATCAGTAGGAATTGCTGAAACTTCTTTAGGCATGTAGCGTCAAAGTAAATGTGAAAATAAACATAGAAGATAGCATAAATTATAGTATTTGTTATAGTCATCGGATAGAGGATGAAATGCTCTTTAAAATGAGCGTTTGTGCGAGTCGATAGCTTTATTAGTTCCGGAGATATAGCGATTTTAATTTCAAGTCGATGCGGTGGCTAGTTTCGTAGATACGAGGGTCCGAATCCTTTGTTTACGTTCATTGATTATCAATGAACTCGCGCGCGTGAAAATAGTAAACAGTGCGTAGTAAATTCTTGGAAATACTACGCGGAAGTAGGTCTCGCAGTCACGACTCACGCGCGACAAAGAGGTCGAGCGCGACGCGTCAGACGAAGACAGCGATAGTCAAATTAAGAAAAATACCCCTTTACATAAATTACGATATCTCGAAAACGGTAAGTCCGATCGACAAAAACCAAAAACCGTTTTAAAGGGGAGGTCTTGCCGCTTCTAACAATATCTTAATAATTAATAAAACCCTAGTAGTTTCGGAACTGCACGCGTCTAAAGTTTTAGTACTTTTAATACGCGTTATTAGACTGTCCTAAGACAATGGAAACTGAATACTGGACTATATACAGGGTGTTCGGCCACTCCTGGGACAAATTTTAATGGGAGATTCTAGAGGCCAAAATAAGACGCCCGATCGTTATAGGCAAAAGAGACTACATATTTTTCTCAGAAAATAAACAATAAGAATAGAAGTGAATATTGAAAAATTCATTGTACGTATGCTATAAGAAAAATCGTGAAGCTAAATGTGCGCTAAAATAACATTGTGCGTTAGAAATTCTAAACAAAATTTTAAAAACGGTCATTCGACCGGTTCGTGGTAGGTTTAGTGTTAAAAGCCATCGTTGTAATGTGACAATATATCCTCGATCGTTCCTTGGAAACGTCTCGATAGGTAGACCCAACAACGAACCGTGTTTACGTTGTTCCTGTAACCACCACCTAACCGTTTCTTTCACCCCGAAACATAATAATACTTTCACTTTAGAATTTATCCGATGCACGTGGCATAATTCCACCCCAAATGCCCCGGCAACTTAAAAGGAATAAGAGACGCGGTATCGTTGTAATAAAATTACAAGTTGATACAACTTCGTGCACGGAAGCACGGAACGGTGGAGGGGATGGGTTGGCTGTTTTATGAAAACGAGACACGTCTAATAATCGAGCCGGTAAGCCGTAAAAGCTAGACGGCGGCCAACAAAGAGGGAAAGAAAGAAATTATGGGGAAGCGGGGGTGATGTTGGCCAGAGCGCGGGGCGGGGAAGGAAAACACGGGCAAGGGACCTTAAATCTTCGGTTGCTTCCCTGGTCGGGGCAGGATTAAGATTTTATTTTATCAGGACGTTTCTTAACGGCCACGCGTTAACGTTAACGTAATCCCTTTACGACCCCCGGTCGTTTTTACGACGAATCCGAACACTCTGAAAACCGCCGCGCGTACGGCAGTTCATAACGGAGGCTGAAACGTACGCGGATAACCGCGTGTTTACATTCTTTGACGGGCTGGTGGCACCGAGTCGTGCTTTACCATCGTCTTGGCGAACGATCCGCGAACCGAAACGGGCGATTTCCTTTCCCATATCGCTTTTCGATCATACGCAAGGCTATTCGTGCTTTCGTCAAATTCGTTCGATTCGTTACAGAGAACGGACGAATACGTATTTTCCTTACGACGTTTCGCGCCATGAAAACGCACATAAAGTCCCCGGGTATTACTTGCCGTAGAAACGAGTCTGAATTTTTCGGTTTGGAACTCGATATTCTTATGGACGCGTTTCGAGGATTATCGTTACGGCCACGGATCATCTTCCGTTTCAGATAATGTTTTTCGTCCATGCAGCGAGCGGAACGGCCAAACTTTCGAGCTCGGAGAACTATTATGACCGAACGAACGTTTTTTTTTTTTTAAGTAACGAGCAACTTTTACGGGACGAGTGGCGCGTTGTTCGAGCTGCGAGATATCGGGAATTTCCGATTTCTCAGCAAATCTATTTCGTGAATGTGCTCCAAGTTTCACGGAGTTTCACAACTTGCGGAGAATTTTGTTACGCGACTCTGGCATACGTTCTACGAAAGTACAGAAACATTGTAGAGAAATTGTGTTCTTTTATTTGGGTCGAAAGACGATTAGTACAAATGATAGTACGTATGCAAGTCGTCATGCGAGTTTGAATAGCCCGAGCTGCACTGTCCCCATTTTCTCGATCGCTTTCCGGGGGTTAGAGAACGCAGAAAATCGGTCGTGACTTCTCCTCCGCATCTTCAGTTTCCAATTTAATTTATGTTCGGTCGTTAGGCGATTCAATGAAAGGAGCACGCTTATGCGGCCAATTTGACTTGCACCCCTTCTACCTGAGCATAAACTACCCTCCTTTATCCTCGATTTCTTTTGATTTCCACTCCCCCGCCATCATCGTATTTACTACAGCTGTTCCCCTTTTCAATCTGCTACATTTCTTTAATCCTCTTTTAGCTACCTTCTTCGATTATTCTACTTCGGCTGTTCTCTTCCGTGCCGCGTTCCCTTTTATTTCTACGTTTCTATTCTGCGTCCTCTTCGAACCGCGTTGTCGTCGACAGCTTTATTTGCTTTATTCCACTCTACGGAGTGTCTGAATAATAATATGACGGATTATTTCTTCACCCTCCGCTCGCGACTCATTTTTACAAGGGAACTTTCTGAAAAGGCCAATACCCCAAGGATTTTAAAATTGCAATAATTCAAAGGAGACATCCGAACTCTAGCTTGGAACCTTCAAAAAATTATAGAGCTTTGTGCAACATAGAAGCAATGGACTTCGAGTAGATTATTTAATTAAGAGTGAATAAATATTTATTTGGTTGGTCCTTCGACACTAAATTTCTTCCTGCCTACATTCACATACATTGTTATTATTATTATTAATTTATTAACGTGAATAAACTCTTTAATACAAAAGATGTAATATGTAAGGAACAAATGTGGATTTTACATAGTCTAACGTTATCGTTTATTTAACAAAATAAATTAATTCTCATTGCAGGGATAGTTTTAGACTTTCTAATGATTGTTCAATTATATTAGTTTTAGCACAGACGAGGTATACGACACGAGAATTATTCTCGCATGTTTCGAGATTAAACCCCTCGATGCTTGAATATTTTCCAAATTTACGATCCAAAATAAACAACTTCTCTTTGTGTGCATTAATATGTGTTTTGTTGGGTGTTGCAACATATTGTTTTGCGATTTTAGTGACGCAGTTTACGTATCTTTGTTAGAATCCTGTATAATTTACTGATAAGAAAAGAAAGGTGAAAACTTATACAAAAGAAAGTATCGTATAAAGAACAGAAGATCGAAGAAATGAATACGTGATGTATAATCTTGGTTTCCGACAGAAATTCAAAGAAATTTTCAGTCTCCTCGAATTTGTCCATATTTCCATTCCTATTGTTTGCAACAATTACTAATTAACATCAAGCAATAGTTAAAATAATGCTTGATAGCGTGGGTTGTACAAATAATCGTTTTTGATACCCTTTCGCGTGGAATATTCATTTTTTGGTCGAAGAAACGAATATGTGATTTACAGGCCTGACCTTGGTTCTCGTTAGAAATTCAAAGAATCTTTCAGTCTCCTGGAATTTAGCCATATTTTCATTCCTATTGTTTGCAACAATTATTAATTAACATCAAGCAATAGTTAAAATAATGCTTGATAGCGTGGGTTGTACAAATAATCGTTTTTGATACCCTTTCGCGTGGAATATTCATTTTTTGGTCGAAGAAACGAATATGTGATTTACAGGCCTGACCTTGGTTCTCGTTAGAAATTCAAAGAATCTTTCAGTCTCCTGGAATTTAGCCATATTTCCATTCCTATTGTTTGCAACAATTATTAATTAACATCAAGCAATAGTTAAAATAATGCTTGATAGCGTGGGTTGTACAAATAATCGTTTTTGATACCCTTTCGCGTGGAATATTCATTTTTTGGTCGAAGAAACGAATATGTGATTTACAGGCCTGACCTTGGTTCTCGTTAGAAATTCAAAGAATCTTTCAGTCTCCTGGAATTTAGCCATATTTCCATTCCTATTGTTTGCAACAATTATTAATTAACATCAGGCAATAGTTAAAATAATGCTCGATACAAACATAATATCTGTGATTTTTCTTCTATTGTGCAATGTTTGAGAATTAGTGTTAATAAGTCATCGTAATTATGTGATTCAAGAGGCATGGGCCCCCCCACTATCCTAGCAACAGGACGAAGAAATTTTTTACCCCTGGGGAAAATTTTAGTGGGAGATTCTAGAGGCCAAAATGAGGCGAAAATCAAGAATACCAATTTCTTAATTGAAGCTTTGTTAAAAAGATATTAATGTTTAAAGTTCGGCTGGTAGAACGGTAAGTTGCGTACGCGCGATAGTGGTTCTCACTCAGCGTGAGAAACTCTACTTACTGACTCATCGACAGCCTTACAGTTTTCTGAGTGAGAACCACTAGCAGCTGTTCGCAGATTGCCGTTCCACAGGCGGAACTTTGCAGGTTAATAATTTTTTAACGAAGCCTCGATCAACAAATTGGTATTTTTGATTTTCGTCTTATTTTGGCCTCTAGAATCTCCCATTAAAATTTTTCCCAGGGTTGGCTGAACACCCTGTATGTTTTGTAATAAGGAGACCAAATTATGCTGCCATATTCTAGAATATGTCCTGTCAAAGCACAATATAGGATTTTGAGTGTATTAGTTTTACTAAAGTATCTGGAAACTCTTAAGTCCCAGAGAGCA